GCAACTATTGCGTTGAGAGAAATCACAGGTCAAGACTCTTTCTCATGAGTGGTGCAATATTTATGGAAGTCACTGTAGACTTTTTGCTCTAGAAGTTATTTTACATCGGAAGAAGAGATTTATTTCATTATACAGTATCAAACGTGACGGTAATCGATACTCGAAAAGGAAAGTATCTACAGTTGCCAGTTTTACGCGTAACAATAACGATGTTTACAACGATAACGATAATCGGTTAGTGATTTTAGTACCTATCGCTATGTCTAACTGCAAATTGATTTACTTTACTGTTCTCTTATTTCCTCTGGCATTCACCTTCGTATTCATATTATAATAGTTAACCAAAATTCAGCAAAGCCGCGACCGCGGTGGCGGGGTTAAAAGAGGAATAACCGTCTTAACTACTGAGTTTTTGATAATTACTTCAAAATCACCAGTTTTGATTTTTTTTTTGACTGGCACATCTTTCACTTTCATGTAATCATTGTGCTCTCGCCTATTTTGATTCCGTTTGTTAGGTATGATTTTCAATGAATAGAAAAAATGTTCTGTGAAAACCATTTATACTAATATATTAACGTCGTCGTTAGACTTTTTATTTTATCTAAAATAATGGATACCTCCCAAACAGCTCAAGACAATCCGCCTGAAACACTTCAAACCCTCCTCACGTATGAGAAAACGCCGGGTCAAGCACAAAGATTTCTCGGTACAGTTCGTGATTTTTTTATATACATTAATATCATAGTGGTAATACATATAATAGTGTTTTGATGTTTGTCTTCTTAACCTATTTGTAGCTCGCGTGGGTAAGAACTTCAGGTGGCCGTCCTCAATGCCAGAATACCTCAGAAGAAGTGCCTTCGAGAACATCGCTGGTGTTGATTTCGAATTCAGATCGGATTTAACCTCTTATTTTTCTACAACGCACTCGACAGTGGCAAATTTTCTGAACATAAAAACAAGTGGGTGACGGTACATAAACAGAGGGTAATAGAGTATGGACAAAAGTATGATGATAAATTGGACTACATTCTCGAAACCATGCCCGGTGCTGTCCAAATCCCGGTTGATCAGAAACGTCTGCCATGTAATCCACCAGCAAAGATGGTAATTGTTCAGCGTACTGAAAATGGCAACGACTACAAGGTTTGAACACGTATTTGATCATAGGTATTGGAAAATTTTATCTTATGAAACTTAGTACTTGTAATAGAAGATATATTCATGTAGTTTTTCAAGTTAAATTTAGTGATTTTTCAAATAAAGGGTCAGACTTCGTGTCAGAAGAGTTTAATTGCTCTACTTGAGTACGATTTTTATGACATCCAAAATAACAACAAGTATATGTGCGTGGTTGATACAGGTGCGCCACAAATAATCATACCATTTTATTAAGAGAACACGGGCTGGAGCACGCTTGAAGCAAGCCTGCAAGACAAGTCTGTGCATGTCAGATGTTTGAATATCTATATCTATCGGTGATAATGATAATATGGTGGCTTTAAGTTGGAGTTGAGACATAGTTTTATAATTTAATAGATACTTGGGGTTTGGGTTTTTGACACTGGTGGCATAACTTACCAGTAATGGTGCGGGTTTTTCAGTGTCAGTGAATAACTTCGGAAACGGGTTTTAATTGTTTGCACGGAAAAAAAACAAAAAAACAAACTTTTTGGCCAAAATGGGTTCAAGCCAAATTGTAGTCTGGGAAAAGAATTCTGGCGATCGAGTGGCATATGCCCTTGTTGGTAACGATGTTACTGACCAACTAGCTTATGCACATGAACCGAGAAAATCAATCAAGTTTTAGATTCTCAATATGAACCCAATCTCACCCAGTTTTTGAGGAAATGTGCTTGAATCCGAAAGATGTAAATTTGAACCCTGTAATGAAATCTGCCTTTTATTCATCATACAATTTTCTACATAAAAAATGAAACTCCTATTAAAGATATTACGATAAGATTTGAGATGAATCCACTTTTTAATTTGATATGTTTTAGTAGTAGAGAATGCTTTTTAACGCGAAATTAATAAATATTAAATAAATATAAGCATTTAATATTATAATTTACTCAATAAGACCCAATTCTCGAAGATACTCTGGGATAACTATATATTAACATGGGTCTTTATAGTACCAGACATATTAAAACAATCCAGTTTTCTTTGCACAATTATTTCTCTCGTGCTTGCTGTCGGATAAAATTATTGGAATCTCCTTTATGAAAGAATTCATGATATTTTCCATGTTGAGATCCCTGGACTTCAATCGTAAAATTATAATTATAGTAGGGAATGTCGGGTTCCAATCCATTTGGATTCTGTAGCATTATGCTCACCTTCCCATATACTTGTACCTGTATATGTTTTATTTTATACCCTGATTTTCACTTTACGATTAGTTTATAAAAATTGATCTTAAAATTAGACATATTAATATAGACAACAAAGTCAGTTTGTGGTTCTTACACTAAAGTCACAGTTGTGAAAGTCTTCCCAAATCATTACCATCATTTTTAACCATTTTTAGCTTATGCAAGCAAATGTTGACTTTGTCAGATCTGTTGCAGCATGCCCCATATATGAAAAATATATTCGTGTCTATATTTACTGACAGAAAAATCAGTTCTTATACTTTTTTGACCTATACAAGTTTTCTTGTAATTTGACAATATTTAAACTTTAAATTGTTGACAACATGAATTGACAATCTGATCTATAGTTACTAATAAGAAAATAATAATATGCAGACTCCCTCCAGAGTTTTGTGGACGTTACGTAAAACTTCTGCAAATTACAGTCAGAATAGGCATATCAATTATCCAGTTTACATCAAATGACATATACATAATCCGAAATTAAAATGAATTTACACGCTTCCCAATAATGCAAAGTTGAGCATTATTTGATTTTTTCAAACCGATGGACAAGAGTGTTAGAAATATTAACAGTTGTGAGAAACGACTGCATGCGAGCGACATTAACCGTAATACAATGGCAGAGCGCAATAACAAGGGGAAGTCCTATCATGAGGTCTTTGACACAGCGGTTAGGACACGCGGTGATGCTTGATAATTACGGAATCCTAAAATTGCTTTGGCACAACGTTAAATATGTTTGCTATTTGATGTTATAATTAAATCGGAAATTAAAGAAGCACAGTAAGGAAAACGCTAACGCTAATTATACCCTGGGTTCGGAAAATAATATTTTACGTCATTTATATCTAAGTGAAAAACCGAGCGTGTAACACAAAATGGTCAATGACAAGTTTGAGTATAGTAAAAAATGAATTTATTTGTTATTATTTCATAGTCGCTATACCGCTTTTGACAAAACAGCTGTGGGGAATGGGGAATGGGGAATGAGGGAAAGGGGGGGGGGAGGAGGGGTCGAGGAGAAATTGTTGATTGACATGTTCGCATGGAAAGGGAATATCCTATTATTAATAATAAGATATTCTTTTGCATACCGAGTTTTGGCTGACAACTACGAAACTGGGAAAACTATGGCCAAACCAAAATAAGACGGATAGAAACACAAGCAATCTATATATGTATACTAATACTCGAGTAATTAAATTAATACGACTGTTTAAAATGCCTTATGTAATTTGTTGATAGTTCTTTTACGTAGTACATGTCTATTATTCCAATTACATATGTACAATATTTACACTTGTAACCCTTTCTTCTCCATTGTTCGTTCCTTCTTCTGAATCAGTTTATGTTTCCGATTTTCATCGGGTAGAAAAGATGTCGATCACACATTCCGACGTAAAAAGATATGTGAGTTCTCATCTTTGTCTCACATGCAGGATGCATTATAAATTGTATATTTGAACGTTGTACTTAATACTAAACGTAAATTATTTAATTTATTAGCATTATTAATATCACACCTGCTGTCATAAAATAGCTTGCTTGGCATATCACACATATATCACATTGCAAGACAAGTTAAACCCCCCATTATTATAATCATCATCATCGTCATCATCGTAGGTAATATTTAGTATTATTTATATGCATGCACATTTTTGTATGGATTCTCTGATAGGCTTGCTTTATACACATACATGCACAGCTGTTCGTTACACCCAAAGAGCATACTTGTTATAAGCTCACATAGTATATGTACTTTTTACTCACGTACATAAAATCCAAGGACAACTCTCACATTCTTTACATTCTCACATGTCACAAATCGTCCGTCTTATTGACAATTAGGGTTCACCCATTCCCAACTCCACTCCCATACACCAAACAATTTCAATCAGCCACTCACCCCCCTCATTCATTCCCATCCACTCACCCCCCCCCAGACATACACAACTCCGCACCCACCGTCACACGTCTCATATATAAACATCCGACTTACCCGACCTTGTAACAAACAAGAGTTAGAATCGTAAATTACTTCTCTGCCGCCCAAAGGTGTCTTAGAGAAGAGGCATACCCATTCCTTTTAACCCCTCCCCTCTATTCCCACTCCCACACACACGACTCAAGTGGGCTTCTCTATCGAGAAGCTAACGGCATCGCTCTTTATTACAAGTCTTATAAATAAATACTTCTCTAACTGTGTCTATCTCGACGACGCTTTCATACTAAACAAGAGGAGAAATGACTGGTAGACTCGTGTGTGGTGGAAACTACGAAGTGATAGAGCGGATAGGTGAGGGGTCTTTTGGTGAGGTGTTCAAGGGTAAGTATTTACTTCGTAAAACTGCTTGATAACACAATTGTCACACAGTAATGGCTAGCAAGTCGAGAATTGCTGTTATTCATGTCATTCAACAACTAGATAGCATATACTGTGCTCGTATTCAAAATATACTATTAGGCAACTATTAGTGACTACAGAACCAGAAACGCCGAGATGTGTTCAATTTTATCCCTTTTTCTAATCTGTAGTCAATTCATAAAAAATACAAGACCAATTACACTTAAATTGTATTACATAGTACTTTAAACTTTTCTCTTGAAATCGACAGCTTTTTGAATCTTCAATTGTTGGACAAATATTCGACTGGCAGTGATGTCAATTGTCAAAAAGGAAGAGAGAGAACAGCTTATAACTCATTTTCGACATTCATCTCTTAACTCACCCATTTTTCTTTTTCTTCTCCCTTGTCCATCTTGCGCTTTAGCTGCTCACAAAGTAACTGGCGTCCAGTACGCCATAAAGCGAGAATTGGATGACCCTCTTTATGTGCCTCAGTTGGAACACGAAGTCTCTGTGATTCGGCGTCTCGAAGGCAATGGTCAGTATACTATTCATATGTATGGAGTAACCCAATCCCCTTTTTAAGAACGTCCGAAGGGGGAAAAAACTTACCAATTTTTCTCATCATTCACCAGACTTTGCCCCAAGATGCCATTGGTACGGCGTAGAAGGTGACTACCATGCTGCAGTGCTTGATTTACTGGGCCCAAACTTGAAGAGTATTAAGATGACGTTTCATCATCTCCCTCCTCGCTTTGTAATCGATCTGGCTCTTCAGATGGTAATACCTAAAAATTGTTTCATAAAATATGCTACTATCGTTTCAAGAATTCTCACAAGTTTTACTGTATCCGTAGATTGAAATAATAGAAAAAGTTCACTCATACGGCATAGTGTATCGGGACATAAAACCTGACAACTTCCTTCTAGAACCAACCTTTACTCTTCCAAAGCGACAAATAAATGCGGAAGCTTCTGACGATGAAGATGCGTTTCTCAAAGACGTCCCAGACTGCTCTTACCTTTTCAAATCGGACCATAAAGTATACTTGGTAGATTATGGTCTGACTGACGAGTGGCGAGACAAGGAGACTGGCAAGCATAGACCAATAGGGCATACTCCGCACAAAGCAGGCACAGCAAGATACTCGAGTCTTAACATACACCGGGGGTTCATACATTCTCGTCGTGATGATATAGAAGCATTGGGTTATGTATTCGTGGATCTGATGAAATTCAAATTACCATGGACAGGAATACAGGCTAGAACTTCAAAAGAAGGCTGGGCAAAAATGCTGGAAATGAAAACCGGCACTTCACTTGAAGAACTGTGTGAAGGATGTCCCCGTGCCTTTATGAACTATATCGAATATGCGCGAAACCTTCGCTACGACGAAGAACCGGACTATGCTTATTTACGC